TTGTTTGAGAGAAAGTGTATGTGAGAGAGATAATGCGTGTGATTTTTTTATTCATTAACAGGATGAGGGTGTTGCTTGCTAGGCAGCACTTATTGTCCATCTCTAATTACTCACAGGGCAGTTCAAGTCAACCACATTGCTGAGAGTCTGGAGTCACATGTAGGCCAGACCAGGTAAGGATGGCAGTTTCCTTCCATAAAAGATATTAGTGAACCAAACAGGTTTTTCCAACCAGTGACAATGGGTTCATGGTCATCATTAATTCTTAATTCCAGATATTTTATTGAATTGAAATTCCACCCTTCTGCCGTGGTGGGATTTGTCCACTAACTGGGTCTCTGGATTAACAGTCCAGCGATATACCACTAGGCTATCACCTCCCCTGAGTGTGTGTGTGTGTGTGAGAGAGAGAGGGAGAGAGACAGACCGTGTAGCGTCAACTGGAAATGCAGGATGACACCGTACCTCATTCACATACTGCAACAACAGAGTGAACAAACCATCGAACTTTCCCAGATCCATTGGCGGGGAAACGGAAGTCTAGAACAGAAAGATAACACTGATCGAACACTGCTTAGGGATCAGCTCCTGCTAAACCATTCCCATCAAACACTGTCCAGGACAGGGGGTTAGATACAGAGGAAAGTAGCCTGTACACTGCAACCCAGCTCCCACCCTCCACATCAAACACTCCCAGGACAGGGACAGCACGGGGTTAGATACAGAGTTAATGTCACGCCTACCTGTGGAGAGGACAGTAGTACTGAATGTACACTTTGAAGAAAATCTTCACCCTGAATCTCCACAGGAGAACCTCGACTACAGAGCTGGATAATCAGGAAGGCAGCTGCACACTGTGGAGAGATAGAGAGGGGGGAAACAGACACAGAGAAAGGCGGATAGAGAGAGGGAGTACAGGAAATGGGGACCAATAAAGGGACAGAGGGATGAGAGACGTTGGATTCCAGTCAAAAAGCACCAGAGCAGTATGACCCTCCGAAAGCGCGGCGCTCCCTTGGCGCTGACCCTCCGACAGCGCGGCACTGACCCTCCCGACAGTGCCCGCTCCCTCGGCGCTGACCCCCCGACAGTGCCCGCTCCCTCGGCGCTGACCCTCCGACAGTGCGGCGCTCCCTCAGCGCTGACCTTCATGTTGTTGGGTCACGACTGTTTTTCTGTATCACTGGCAATAACATTTGTCTCAATCACTGCCTCGGAGTGCTTGCGGGCAGCTTTGGCTTACCGTGTGAGTGGGTGCAGGTGACTGGAGGAAGATGGACGTAATGATCTCGATTTTCTGTTCCAAACTGGAAGAGGGATGGAGAGAGAGAGAGAGAGAGAGAGAGCACGCGTTAAATCCTGGAGCAAGGATTGGTGGCTTCAGTGGCAGCAGCCGAGGAACTCCCTGTTGTTCAGATTGAAACATGCCCCGGCCAATCTAAGAGAGGGATGTTCACAGGGAGTGGATTCTCCCAGACCACTGATACCTCCACATCCCTCGCTGAGGTGCTGGTGTATCATGGACAGAAATGGCACCGTCTCTTTGTCTCCCAGTCTCATTCACGTGCTTCCCTTCTTTATCAACGTCTCGCGTGCACACACACTCCCTCACGCGCACACTCTCTCTTCTACAGTATTGCTGCGAGGACTGAACGGCCTCTAGGAACCTGCCCTTTGAGGACCCTGTGACTGACCGACAGTCTATCCTCACAGTATGAGTGAGGAACTCACCTTTCAGGGACCTGGTCCAACTGAATCACCAGGACTGTTAACAGGTACAGGGTCAGTTCCTGAGTCACCGACAGGATCACATCTTCAACAGCGAGCTGCAGGGGACACAAAGATAGATCAGGGAGAGGGGAAACCAAAACACAAATGTCACCCCCCAGTCCCAGAGGAGTGGGGGGAAGGACAATGTCTCTAACGCACAATGACCCCTGGTCCCGGGAAGCTATGTGCAGTGTATAGTATAATCTCATTGTCACTGACCTTGCAACAGAGGAGCTGTAGTAAACTGTCCAGAGCTTCTTCCACTAACAGCTGACTGGTAATTTCACTGATTTGACAACAGGAATACAGAACCTGTACAGAGACACAATACATCCTGAATCACAGGGAGCCTGAGGAGGGTAGGATATATCTGTACGCCTTCTGGTGTCTCTCAGTCCCCTCTCTCTCAGATATATCTGTACGCCTTCTGGTGTCTCTCAGTCCCCTCTCTCTCAGAT